ACGGTCCGTGAGGCTCCTGACTACCACTCCGTGTCCACCAAACTCCAGAGATAGTCGCTGATGAACTTCTTGGAGAGCTGGGTGCTGTCCAGGTGGATGGGCTGGGCAACCCTGGGGCCGTGATGGACTGAGGGTACGGATGTAAGGAAACTCGCCACATAGTCCTCTCCATGGCCCCATGGCGAAAAGGAGACTCCCTTAAAAATTTGTTATTGAGACTGAAACAAATTTTCATGAACTAAAAGTTAAAACTGATAATGCACTATCTTTTTTTTCCACATTGTGGTAAAATACACATAATATAAAATTTACCACCTTAACCAATCCCCAGTTCAGTGACATTAACCACATTTTTCACACTGTTGTGCCACCATCCCCAACATCCGCCTCCAGAACTTTTTCATTTTCCCAAACTGAAACTCTATCCCCATTAAACCCTAACTCCCCCTGGCACCCACCACTCCACTTCCTGTCTCTATGAATTTTACTCCTCTAAGGACCTCATGCAAGTGCAATTACACAGCATGTCCTTTTGTGACGGGCTTAGTTCACTCAGCACATCCTCCAGGTTCATCCACGTTGCAGCTGGGTTGGCATGGACGTCTTTTTGAGGCTGAGTACCATTCCACTGTATGTGTACACCCCGCTTTGTTTAAACAGTCATCTGACAATGGTGGAAGCACATGGGCTGCTCCCACCTTTTGGCTGTTGTGACCAATGAGCCATGAGCAAAGGTGGGCAGGTATCTGCTCTAGTCCCTGCTTTCAGTTCTTTTGTGTTTAGACTCAGAGTAGAGCTGCCGGGTCTCAGGGTGACAGTTTCATTTTTAGGGTGTGCCAGCCTGCTTTCCACAGCAGCTGCACCATTGTACATCCCTGCCACCAGCGCACAGGGTCCCCTTTCTCCACAAAGGATACTGCCTTTGATCATCTCTGGTTCACACTCGTAATCCCACTCGATTTTACTAATTCGGTGATAAAGTTGAGCCACATACCTGCACAAAACAAAACAAAACAAAACAAAACAGAGAAAAGAAAGTTACCCCAGTGCCGATGCCCACACACACAGAGGCAGGCACATACTCACACTGGCGTCTGTGGGACCTACATGGCTGCAGGGATGGTGACTGTCGTGTCCTCGTCAACGTCCCTCTCCCATTTTTCGAGATCGGCCTGGATCTCCTTGAGGTCCTCTAGCTCCCTGGAGAGCTGAGTAAAGCAGGTAGTTAAGGACCCTCGGCTTCAGAGGTGGGCTGCCCCGTGCGAACTAACACCGGCCACGTGGGGCCCGGGGCCTCTGGTGAAAAGCATGTTTTCTAGCGTGAACAAATCTGCGCCTCCAGGTGAGGCTGGGCCCAGGCATGTCGGGCACTCGGGAAAGGATATAGGAGGCTGGCCTTCAGGTGAGCGTCCTCCTCGCTGGCCTTGTGGAGTTCGGCTTCGATCTGCTGCAGCTCAGTGCCCACCTGCTGCGCCTGCTCCTTCGCGTCAAGGAGGCTCTGGGCCACCTCCTTCTCTGTTTCGAGGATCTCTGCAGGGCAGGAGAAGGCTAAGCCCCCTCAACATGGGCTCCCTGGGCTCTGTCCTTCCCAAAGGAGAGCCCAGGGAGGAGAGGACGGTTTAGTGGCCTGTGGCCTCCACCACCCCTATCGACGACGAGCGCTCCCACTTCCGCCTGCTCTCCCCTCACCTGCTTGTCCTATTCCCGAACACCCACTGGGCAGTTCCACCGGGACCTTGCGTGAGTACTGCCATTTCACCCAAACACATTTGAATCCACAAAAAAAAAACAAAAAAAAAAAAACTGGGCCCTCTTTTCCACACCACTCC